CGAGCTACGAACTCAACATGCAAGAGGAGGTGGCAAGGAAGGTTGATGAACGCATGGCCGCACATCGGTCCCATGATCCCCAGCCGACCATTCCTCCTGCAATGGTGAGCCCGTCAGGAAACCGTAGCAGCTGCGCCTCAACGGGGCAGGTAGGATCACAGAGCATGGACGCCATGCAAACACAGGACGAATCGACCTGTCCCGTTGATGACATCACTCAGCGGACACCATGTGAGCTGCATATTCCTTTCAAGAACTTATCAATAAAGGTAAGATTTAGCCATTCCGCTAGTTGCTGCTTATATATGTTGATTACTAATAAATAATCTCTCACAACATGAAGGTGGCGTCGGGCATAGCCATCCCAACGGACCCTTTAGGTACTTACCACTGCAGGCCGATTCCAGCAGGATACTCCAAGGTCGAAGTTGAGTTGGTCGAAGGCGCGTACGAGTACCTCGAGCTGGATTACCCTACAGGAGACGGTGAGACGCATCTACGAGACACATGCCATGCCATTATTCTATGGCGCAGGCGGTACATCATCCTCCCTGGGCGACAAGCGGCGTCTCGTGCACCATCTCCTCCGGCTCCGCCATCTCCTCCTCAGGATCCTGCACCGTCTCCTCCTCATGCTCCGCCAGCACCGTCTCCACCGCAGGCTCCAGCATCGACTCCTCCTCAGGATCCTGCACCGACTCCTCCTCGTGCTCCTACACCTACTCCCCCGCAAGCTCCTCTTCCGGCACCTTCAAAGTCAAGGGCCCCCCCAGCTCCACCGCTTGCCCACACAAGGGCAACAAAGAAGGTGAAAGTTGACGCCGCCAAGAACAAGGACCCGGGGTACGATTGCACGCAAGAGGAGCTTGACGCTTACGTTGCATCAGAAGTCAAGAGACAATTCAAGCCTCGAAGTCCAGAAAAGAAGATTCCTATAGACCCCAGTGTCAGGAACTTCTTCAGGGGTATGTCTGCATCTGTCAAGGAGGCCATCAAGCTATCGGACTATGAGCGAACGCTGAAGAAAGCATCTTCTGGAAAGTCCAAACCAGTCCCTCAGCTTGGAGAGCAACCAAACCAGGAGATCGAGCCGTTGGTGACCGGTAAAGAAATGACGATAGAACAATTTATTACTGACACCGGTCTAACTACGGATCAATTGCTAGGAGTCGCACCAATCGAAAAGGCGGAAGTGAAATACATGTACGAACTCGGTAAACCGCTTGTCAAGCCTGAGCTGCTGCAGTCCCTACCCACACAAATGTACAAGTTCCATCAGCTGTACATGGAGATGAGCGCCACCGGTAGAGAGATGATCGGAGCGAGGATCAGGGACACGGACTTCTTGCAAGGAGATGACATTCTCTGGATCAATTTCAGGGGAATCTACGAACTATACCAGCTGGACGCCCTCGACGTCTCTATTATGAGTTGCTGGATTTTGTAAGTATATCGTTCAGTTAGATTTCTTACTATACGTCTCCTTTAATTAATTAGGTCCTTGTATATAAGTAGACCATAGAAAATAATATACTCCCTTTTATCGTTGTAGAATGGAGATTCAAAGGGCCCGACGGCGGAGGGTTTTCGATACTGGATTCATCGACCCTCGGAAAGTAAACGTCGCAATGCTCGACCAATATCCACAAGAAACAGAGGACAATCTCGTTCATCTCCTGAAGGCGCAGCATTACAAGACGTTCATACTGTTGCCATACAACACAGAGTTAGTTTAATTTTACTGTCTTCCTACATACCAAATTTCATTCCCGTACGAACTTGCTAAGTGTTTCATATGTAATGCATCCCACGCACATTGCAGATTCCACTGGGTGCTTTTACTCATCGACCTGGAGGCCTGCACCGTCAACGTATATGACTCAATGGATAAAAAAGAGTCTACGTTTGACAAGGTTTTCGAACTTATAGACAGGTACCGTCATAAGTTCCTTTGTTAATTAAGAAAGTCTTGTTATGTTAATTGCTACTACGAATCATAGCTTTAAACTCCATGTAGGGCTTGGTATCGGTTCCGTCATTTGGTCCGCGGCAAATGGAGAGAAAGACTTAGGCGGAAGTTTAAATTTCCTGTGAGTACACATGCTCTACATTTATATTTCTCCGATTCAAATACATACAAGTGTATATTAATTAGATCTCTCGTTGTTTGTCATTTATTTGTAGTGCGCAAAGCAAAAGCAGGGAACTAACTTGTGCGGCTATTACGTGTGCGAGTATTGCCACTGCCTTGCAGACCAAATCATCACCACAAGAGAGCTCGATGTACGTACAAATAAATTCAAAATTTCATTACGTAGCGATTTCTTGTTTAATTACTAATCAATTTCATACATTCATATAGTTTATTCTCATGAGGGATAACCTGACCACACACAAGGAATTTATCGCGGCGGTTCAAGAACAACTCATGGGATTCATCAACGAAGAAATCCTTGATCCCAAGGGTGAATTCTACTACGACGGAAACACAATTCACCGGTCCTTAGCTTCTGAGCTAGCAGCGAGTACTACTACGTCGAAATCGTAGCTAGCTAGGACATATAATGGATTGTAATTAATACATGACTACATATGTTTCTATATGCATGTGTACACATTTTCTATAATGTAAATATATTTTGTTCATATATATATCTATATACATATGCATTTGCATAACATATATATGTATAAATACATATATATTATGCATGTATATACATATAATATAATATAATATATATATATATATATACATATATATATGTATGCATATATATGTATTGAAACATATATATGCATGGTTTATATATATATATATATATATATATATATATATATATATATATATATATATATATATATATATATAAATATAAACCATGCAGCAACAGGGGCATGCAAAAAAAAAAAGGTCAGCTCGATCTTTAGTCCCGGTTGGTGTTACCAACCGGGACTAAAGATCGATCTTTACTCCCGGTTATTTCACCCGGGACTAAAGATAGCGATCTTTAGTCCCGGATTGGTACTCCCGGTTTGAAAACCGGGACTAAAGGGGGGTTACGAACCGGGACTACAAAGGGTTTCTCCACCAGTGAAACTAGAAAAACTAAAACATAATCCCAACCTATATACGTGGATGGATTGGGATTAGGACCTAACCAGAGGCACGATGGAGGTGTGAGTTCAGTAAATGCCAATGAAAGCACATTTTTTGCTCAGATATACTCTCTCCGTTTTATAAAGAGTACTTTTATCCTTTTTTTATTTTAATTACTGCCAGGACTTTTGTCTTGTAGTGCAATTTTCATTAAATGGAAAAATATAATCACAGAGAGAGCACTGTTAGATTTATAAATAGTACTTTAAGATATCCAACCATTAGTACTTCATTATTCTTCCCGTTTTCTCTTTGTATTAATGAAGGGCATGTTAGTGCCGATTGCTCGATCTGCTTTAACTTTCAAAAACAACACTTCTTTTATGGAGGGAGTAATCATCTACTCATGTTGCTGAAAGCTGAAAGCTGAAAGTGTGAGCTCACTAATCCCATTCCTCTAAAATTTTTTAACTATATTGGTTGGCCTTTCTCAGACAAGAGAATTCTTATAATTCTCTCTATACAGTACATTGAACGTAGTATATTTTTCTGCATTTTGTTTGGACGCGACTAGCGGTTATACGTCTTATCCTAGCCAAAATGTTAAATGCCGGGTACCCCTCCGTCAAAAAAAAATTCCAATCCTAGTACGAACCTGGACATATGTGTGCTCATGTTCGTAGCTAGGGTTTGTCTCTTTTTTTTTACGGAGTAGTAGTGCTTTATTACTCGTCAAAAAATTATTTTTGATGTTTTTAAAAATTTTCTCAACTAGATGTGACATTTAAGAAGTACCAATTATAATATTAAAAGCAATATTGCCAATCGCCTTCAAGACGGTGGAAGACACCGTGCACATACCTTCAAGGAGGCATTACATATTACTCCCTCCATCTACTTTTGATTGGCATATTTCCAAATATAAAAAATTTATTTTTGATAGGCATATTTCAATCCAACAACCTATCCTTTTAATGACTTTTTCAGATTTAATGTGTGACTCTCCATTCATTCACACATAATTGGCTACATGAGCATCGAGAAATGTAAATATTAATGAATCGCTTGTTTACGAGAAATAACTAATAGCATGTTTAAATGGATTATAAGTAGAATTAATTATCCTTATCCTCGTTAGGTATACCAAGATGAAATATCACTATCAAAAATAGATGAAGAGAGTATGTGCAAGTACAGCATTTGATTAAAAGAGGGTGAAACACTCAAATACAAAAAGGTGCAACAAGATAAAGCATAATACAATGTTTTGAAAAAAAAATACAAGAAGAGCCTATCGTCCGGGCCGATGGCTGCTCGTGTCGATGACCTCTGGCCTCGTGGCCTCAGCCTCTTCCATTAAGTGGCATAGTTATTACTCACATTTGGGATTAAAACTATATAAAAATCATTGTGTATAACTTGGTGTCAATCGTATCCTACGTTATCAAATATTATAGTCGGGTATAATCCATTAATATGTAATTTTTTCAAAGACGAGTAATCATAGTTGAAGTATAAATAATGTCTAGCGATAAGTATGTCGAAAGAGAGGGATTATAAAAAGGAGCATTTACAAATTTGTCACTATTTTTTAAAAATTTTACAAAGATGCCACTCGAACGATAATTTTATTGGCATTTTTGTAATTTTCTAGTAGCAGACTTGTAATAACGATTCAAAATAGTAGTAAATTTGCAATTGCACTTTATAAAAATACAGTATATCTTAGAGATAATCTTGTTGGGCTTTATCTTTAGAAATTAATAAATAACTATATTTAATTGGCAGCAGCAATAAATAACATTCTTCCAAGGAATCATACCTGTCAACCATGAAGCAGCCTTCAAACACTGCCTACTTAAGGCAGTTTTACATTTACACTGTACACCGTTCAGCCATGAGCCTAGCTAAGCATCTCACCAGCTAATTAGCCGTTCTTCTCCCCTGATTCGGGTAATTGGCTTGATAATATGATGGCCATGAAGAGGCTTTCTTTCTCCTTGTTCCTCCTCCCGTTCTTGCTCCTCGCGTTCGTCTACTCCCTCTTCTTCCCCGGCTACTTCAGTATCCTGCCATCTCTCGCCGCCAGGTGCAGCAACAGCGTGGCGGCGACGCCGGCGAACGCGACGGGGCCGGCGGTGGATCTGCGCGTGCTCCTCGGCGTGGTCACCCGGGCCGAGATGTACGAGCGGCGCGCGCTGCTCCGCCTGGCGTACGCGCTCCAGCCGGCGCCCGCGCGCGCCGTCGTCGACGTCCGGTTCTTCGTGTGCAGCCTCGCCAGGGAGGAGGACGCCGTGCTGGTGTCGCTCGAGATCATCGCCCACGGCGACGTCGTGGTGCTCAACTGCACGGAGAACATGGACGACGGCAAGACGCACTCCTACTTCTCGTCCCTCCCGGCGCTGTTCGCCGACGCGCCGTACGACTACGTCGGCAAGATCGACGACGACTCGTACTACCGCCTGGCGTCGCTCGCCGACACGCTCCGCGACAAGCCGCGGCGCGACCTGTACCACGGGTTCCCGGCGCCGTGCCACGCCGACCCGAGGTCGCAGTTCATGTCGGGCATGGGGTACATCGTGTCGTGGGACGTGGCGGCGTGGGTGGCGGCGACGGAGGCGCTGCGGGGCGACGTGAAGGGGCCCGAGGACGAGGTGTTCGGCCGGTGGCTGCGCCGCGGCGGCAAGGGGAGTAACAGGTACGGCGAGGAGACGCGGATGTACGACTACCTCGACGGCGGGATGCGGGAGGGGGTGAACTGCTTCCGCCACGCGCTCGTGGCGGACACCGTCGTCGTGCACAAGCTCAAGGACCGCCTCAAGTGGGCGCGCACGCTCAAATTCTTCAACGCCACACAGGGGCTTAAGCCTTCCAAGCTGTACCATGTAGACCTGTGAAAATTAAGGGGAAAAAAAGGGATCGGATTATTTGTCAGTATTAGCTGTTGGCAGTTTCTTCTTCGGTATGTGCATATCCTCTCTTAAATGCACAGTAAGTTATAAAGTGTTCAAATTTAAAACTTGCATACATAAATACATAATCAACAAATTACCTGCATATATGCGCTAGTAGAATTGAAGACACAATGACTAATGAATGTGATCCTAGTATCCTATCAGGATTGCTATTTTAGTTCCATTTTAGGAGGCTAATATGACAAAGTGTTTAGATGTCTACTACTAGTAAATTAATTTACTCAATGATTAAAAAGAACAGTTGGTTGCTATATAGGTAGTTTTGCCACACAAATGGCGTGATTTGATTTGATACATGGCTACCACTTTATGTTAAAAGTTGTTTAAGGCTAAGTCTGCGCGTGGTAGACATCGAGTCAAGCTTAGTTTCTGTTCAACAGATCCTTATCAGGATCTTATTGTCATCAAGACATAGATATTGGAAAGAGAGTCAATTAAAATATAAAGACCCTTTCCTATATTTTTTTATAAACATTTGTACAAACGCGACGCAATGCTCACAACACGTACACACTCAATCCTATGAACACACATATGTACATCGTATCCCTATGAGTATCTCCGAAAAACTATACCGACATATATCTTAATATTGACGAAGTCACTACGGACGTCTCGTTATTGACGGGTACGTCTCCTATCACCAAAAGAATAGTTATCCGATTTGGCAAAACCATTTTATTTTGCATTGTTTAGGGCAACCATAATATATGAAAAAAAATGATCTATATAATTATTTATGATCTGCTTTACCTATGTAAGAGTAGTTCATATATATAGTAGTCCAGATACCCTTATGCATATGAACATGTCATAAGTAATAAAAAAATATTAGGGGATTCTCTTTCTCCTGATTCAGGCCACTCATATGTCACGTGTCTCATTATAAAGTCTACGCATTATGGAACCATTTTTTAGACCCTGTCTTTAAGCAATAAAAGGGCTGATTTAGCAATATACATTGCTCTTAACCTTTAAGGTGTATAACATCTGCTTTGTTATGTTTAAATTAAGTAGACTAGCAATCATACTTCTATTCTTAGGACTAAACGGTCATCTTGTTTTTTTTTTTTGAAACTTTAACAGTAGGGGAAGCCCCTACGGTATATATTATGAAAGAGTTGAGAGTACAAAAAGACTAAATTACAAAGAAATTACAAGGGAGACATCCATGACTGAATAAAAAGAGTTTGGTCATCTCTAAGTCTAAGTAAATGTAGACTTAGGTCATCTTTAAGAGCAGATTTCCAGCTTAAGGTCGAGGGCATGATAGAATTGAAGACCAGATTATTCTTGTGTTTCCAAATATTCCAAGCCGCTAAGAGGAAGATTTCCATGAAACACAGAGTCCCAAAATTTGCTCTCTGGTGAAGAATCATATCATGAAAACTGAGATTAAAGTTCCAATGGAAACCAATAGAACTCCAGCAACCCGCACTAAATTGACAAGAGAAGAACATATGTTCCATAGTCTCTCTTTGATTGCTCTGAAAAGATTGACAAATGATGGAAGCATTGGGAGGCTTGCAGTGTTTTCTATCCAAAAGATCCATTGTATTTACTCTGTCCATCAGAAATAACCAACCAAACACCTTGATTTTCATCATAACTTTGCTTTTCCAAATTAAAGGTAAAGTTGCTGGGGGGAGATGCTCCAGAAAAGCAATTTGTAGAACCTGCTGGAAGTATATTGTGCCGTGCTCCAAACATAAAATCCATACATCATGGTTTATCGAAAGGTGAATGGCAGATAGTTCCTGCTCAAAAACCTCATATTCCTGGAAAGCCTGAACTGAGAGAGTAAGGTGAAAGTTGTCATGCAGGTCTCTAGAGAAGTAGGAAACAACTGAATCAAGTTTATTCTTCGCAAAAGAGAACAGTCTAGGATACTGCTGCGATCTGGTCCTTCCTCCCCAATTATCCTCCCAAAACAGGACTGAATTGCCATTACCACCGATCTGGTCATCTTGTTTCTCCACCACCGATCTAAACGGTGCTCTTCTTCTCTCTATCTTCAAATCATCCCACAACCTAATAAGAGCAAGTATAATAGGATGTTGTAAGAATGCTAAATACTGAGGTGGATGAGAGAGGAGAGGAGAGAGAGGAGAAGCGGGTGTAAGCTTATAGCCGGCTTACGTACAGGAACCAAGAAAATATGTGAGAGAGACAGGTGGACCATACATTTATAGTTCATAGCTAACCACTTATATGAGTTGGCTGAGAGGTAGACTATAAAGATTTGTTTGTTGCATGATGAGAGGGGAGTAACTATGAAGAAGATACAGAGATCCCAGAATCAAGCCAGCCATATGTTAGTAAAGCTCGTGTTGATCATCTCTCTGATTCTTGTAGCCAAATATCTCACATTCTCTGTAAGGACTCTGTTGGTTGAGTAATATATCTTTGCTCTTCTTCGTAAAAAAAATTCTATACAGTAAGCAGCTAATTGTATTATTAGTCTTTCTCTAAGGTCATTTCTAGTGCTTCACATTTGCTAGAGTCTATCACACTATAGCAGGTCATGTAGGATAAAAGGTAAGATGATAGTACAATTAATAAGGAGAGAGCAGCAAGACCCGAGTCTTGTATGAGATCTAGTTTCAACACGAAATCCTACCGGAAAGAATCCACAAAAATAGTATTGAGGCATACTCCCTCCATTCTAAAATAAACCAACCTCGTACATCGATGTGACATATTCTAATACTACGAATCTAAACATGAACACATACAAATTCGTAGTACTACGATGTTACATCAATATACGACGGAGGGACTAGGATCTGTTTAGTAGAGCTCCAACTCCTAAATTGAGTTGGGTCTAGAGTGGAGTTGTGGAACAGTCTAAACCCAGCTCCACCTCTCTAGTTCATTCTGTGAGAACGCTCCACCTAGCTTTGCTCCCATTTTAGATAGAGCTGAAACTGTTTGGCTAAGCTCAAACTCCATTTCTTCTAAAACTGGAGCTGTGCCAAACAGACCCATACATATTAACCGATTGAAATGAGGGTTTGATGCCATGGCCCTCTGGCCTCTCTCTCAAGTGCTCCCTTTCCCGGCCCATGGGCCATGGTCCATTTCGCTGTCTTCTCATCCCACATTGATTTCTTCCTCCCCGTCGTGAAAAATCCCGCCGCCCAGCGTTGGTGGCCTGCCGACGGCAACAAGGCAACAAACCATCACTTCTGTTCGCTGCTGCTCGGCGTGCTCACCTGAGCCGACTTGTACTCTCGTCGGTGCCTGCTTGGCTGCTTGCACCGTCATCTTCCCCGTGTGCAACCTCACCCAGTGGAGGATCGGAGGAGGACGCGGCACCGGCGGTGCTCGAGAACATCGCCCACGGCGTCGACGGCGACATCGTCATCGCGCTCAACTGCACGGGGAACACATGGACAGCGGCGAGCCGGCGAGACGCACGCACGCATGACGCACCTGAAAGATGCAGAGGGACGGAGCAGTCTGAGCAAGTAGGTGCAAACTGATAGATATATACTGTAGTTCGCTCCTGGCCTCCTGGGTGCTTTATTTCATTCAAGCAATCGAAATTACTACTAACTATTATACAAAATCTTCTCTAGCCTGGTTGACGTTGCGTTCGTGTAAATCTATGTGCGGCATGTGCATTATACAAAATTGATTACAAATGCAATCATGTTGTGCTATGCTAGCTGCCGTCAAGATTTAGCAAAGGCACTGATTAAGCTTGTTCAGGTTCAAGATGCCCTGAGTATCGCGGCAGTGGTCTCTTTGTCACGCAAGGCGCCATTGAGTTGTCAAAGTATCAGTTTGGACTTTGAATCTTGACTCATATATACAGCCATCTAACTCCTGCATATGCCGCAAGCAAATTAAAGAAGCAAAAAAATGAAAAAAAATGTACCGATATAGTGATATGCCAATGTGGATCATAGGTAAACGAGCAACAAATAATTAACCCTGTAAAATGCCATCGCTCACGGTTTACTGAATTCCCAAATCTCAAAATTGAAATCCAAAAACACACACCTGATCAGTTAATTAGCCTATACGGTACCTCCAAACATTTTTCAACAAAAAATATATGAGTATATTAGGGATTGAAAACGATACTTGAGGATTGAACCTCACACTACTTTCCACTACTCTATCAAGTGCATCTCCAAATTAATCCCTCCTGACGAGTTAATAAGCTGTGTGATCCTGTGAAACGCCAACTGCGTGAATCCAAGGACGAATCCAGTATAGGGGCGGTGGGGTCTCGAACCCCCACCACTGGAACAAGTACTATAGGAGCCTCCGTAGCTAAATCTTTTTTGCTACATGTAGATATCAAGGGGCTATATTTTTATCTAGTTTATTCATCCGCCGCAGCGTGAATCCATGCAATCCGACGCGTTCGTTGTACTGTAATCTGTAGGCGTTGACTACCTCGCATGCCACGCAGTCCCACGTACGCCTCTCGTGTCCCCAAGATTTACGCAAAGGGCGCCATTGCCGTACAAACCAAGCTCCCCCGTCACGCACATGGAGCTCCATCTCAAACCGGCCAAAGCACCGGCGATCCGCCTCCGCCTTAGCATCATATCACTCGCGCCACCCAATTGCACGCATTTACAATTCAATTCACAGCAATCTCTGGATCACAAGGAGAGCTTCTTGAATCGCAGCAGCAACGACGACGAAGACGACGACGACTGTGTCGAGCTCGAGCTCTTGCCTGCCATGCCGCCGGCGAAGAGCTCTAAGCATGGCTTCCCCAAGCTGTCGGCGTCAAGCAAGGCGCTGGTGCTGCTGCCGCTGCTGCTCCTCGGGTTCATCTACCTCTTCGTCTACCCCAAGGAGTTCGAGCTGCAGGCGCTCATGATGAGCTCGTGCGGGCCGACGACGGCGGCGGGGGCGTACACGGCGGCGCCGCGCCGCCTCGCCGGGGAGCCACCGGCGTCGCGGAAGCCCGACTTCCGCCTCCTCATCGGCGTGCTCACCCGCGCCGACAACTACGAGCGCCGGCACCTCCTTCGCATGGTGTACGGCCTCCAGCTCGCCGCCGGCGACCTGACCGCGCACGTCGACGTCCGCTTCGTCTTCTGCCGCCTCTACAAGGACGACCAGCGCGTCCTCGTCCCGCTCGAGATCCTCCGCCACGGCGACATCATCGTCCTCGACGAGTGCGAGGAGAACCTCAACGGCGGCAAGACGTACGCCTTCTTCTCCGCGGCGGCGCGGCTGTACGCCGACGACCCCTACGACTACGTGATGAAGGCCGACGACGACATCTTCCTCCGGCTGCCGCGGCTGCTGGCCTCCCTGGGCGCGATGCCGCGGGAGGACGCGTACTACGGCGCCACCATCCCGTGCGGCAGCATGGACCCGTTCAGGGAGTACATGTCCGGCATGGCGTACGCGCTGTCGTGGGACGTCGTCGAGTGGGTGGCGACCTCCGACGTGCCGCGCAACCGCACCGTGGGGCCGGAGGACAGGATGACGGGGCAGTGGCTGCGGCTCGGGGGGAGAGGGAAGAACAGGTTCAACGCCAAGCCGGCCATGTACGACTACCCGCTGCCGGCGCCGGTGGACAAGTGCTCGCACGAGTTTATCCCGGACACCATCGCCGTCCACCGCCTCAAGGACAACCCGCGCTGGGCCGAGACGCTCAAGTACTTCAACTTCACCAAGGGCCTCGAGCCCTCAAAGTTCTACAAGATAAACTAGAAACAGAGGATCCATCGATTGGAATTGGACATGCGTTATACATTGTTGGTTAATTTTGGGGAATGAAATGGTTTCTACTATATATATTTTTTTGGGTATTATTCGACATTTTGCAGAAATTATTTTCCTTTTTCCTCCTTTAATCCCCATCAGTTTGTAATGAACACTTGATTCAAATACACAGATGATAACTCAAAAGGAAATTGTAGAGTATGCAAATCATGAAGTTGAGTAGCCATGATAATGTTGCTGGGACAGTTTTGGTTTGATATGTCTTACCAAATTGTTTTGTGATCATCTGATGTTGGTACGGAAGGACATTTAGATATGTTTGGATTGCCACGTTGTCAAATTTTGATAAGGTTGAAAATTAGTATAGTAACAAACTCTGTTTTAAATGTTTCTAAATATACGAGGCAACTAGCATGGTGGCCCGCGCAGATTGCGTGGCTAGTATCATTATATTTTTTTTCATATAATAGCATACATGTTTTCTCATTATATTATTCAAATATATTAAAATGACAACACAATTTTAAATTTTGCAATAACTTTACAAAACTACTAATGTGTAATATTCATATTGTATTTTATATACATGTTAGTTATTAATTATTTTTAATATCAAATTTTAGTTATTTGTAGATTATATATATTCCTATATGGACTCTAGACTCGTCTTTTAATATTTCTTTTTTTTAATTCCGAATTTTCTGTAAATTGTATTTCTATATAGACTCTAAGCTCTTCTTTCAATATTATTTATTTTTATTTCTGAATTTTTATTATTTCTAATTGTGTTTCTATGTGGACTCTAAACTCATCTTTCAATATTCTTTAATTTTTAATTTCGAATTTCATTTACTTCTAAATTGTATTCCTATATTGACTTTAAACTCTTCTTCCCATGTTTTTCTTAATTTTCAATTTTAGTTATTTTTAAATTGTATTTTTATACGGACTCTAAACTCTACTTTAAATTTTATTATTTTTATTTCAAATTTTAGTTAGTTTTAAATTTTATTATGTTTATTCCAAATTTTAGTTAGTTTTAAATTCCTATATGAACTCTATACTCTACTTCTAATATTTCTTATTTTTTAATTCTGAATTTCTATTTTTTTTCCTTAATTGTATTTCTATATGAACTCTATACTCTACTTCTAATATTCCTTATTTTTAATTCCACATTTCTATTGTTTCCTAATTATATTTCTATATGGACTTTATACTCTATTTCTAATATTCCTTATTTTTAATTCCGAATTTCAGTTATTTCCTAATTGTATTTCTATATGAACTCTATACTCTACTTATAATTTTCCTTATTTTTAATTCCGAATTTCAGCTATTTGTAAATTGTATTTCTATATGGACTCTGCTTTTTCTTTTTGTCAGATTAATGTGAGAATTTCTAGGCCATGAGAGCGAACGTGGAGGCTCATTTTTCTATTCCTTTAATAATATAATAATAGATTGGTTTTTAAACATGAGATCATTTGTTCCATTAAAAAAAGATACTATGCAAGCATTATTTAATTTTCTCTAATATATAATATTTTTTAATAAAACGAGTAGTCAAATGTCATATCCAAAAGTTACAATAGTAATGTGTTTGCACAACATTGAGTTAATATTTTTTTAAACTCGTGACTATCTTTCAAAATACTTACTCCATCTGTTTCAGGTTATAAAATGTTTTAACTTTGGTTAAAGTCAAACTGTTTCAAGTTTGACCAAGTTTATAGAAAAAAATAATAATATTTTCGACCAAGATAAATTTATTATTAAAATATATTTAATTATTAATTCAATAAAACTAATTTGATAATGTAAATATTACTATATTTGTTTATAAATTTAGTCAAACTTAAAGCAGTTTGACTTTAACTAACGTCAAAACATCTTATAACCTCAAATGGAGGGAGCAGCTAAAAAGGACACACAATGATATATATAGATTTATATATCTTATAAATACTTTCATGGTCTCATAAAACCATCACATTTTTTTTCCAAAATCGTATAAGATGGTAAAATGGCAAATATAAGTTTTGACTGGAGGGAATAGTGCCTTTATACAAACAAGTCTACTTTTTTTTTAAAAAAAAAACTGAACAAGACTAAATTTGATTTACACGGCCGTGGGAAAATTGTAAAAAGAATTGTTAATTTTCATTTATTTTTCCGTTGGTTAACTGGATAAGAGGGCAGGCTGGAAGCTGGGCGCACAGCCAGAGTACCATCACCGGAGATCAGAGAAAGGCTCAAGGCAAAAAATGAGTCCCGCCACCGCAGCCACGGCCGGATGCCACCACCTCCTCCTCCCCACGGCGAGCCGGCCATGCGGCGCGCCTCCTCGACGGCTAGCACGAGGCGCCGCAGCGGCAGCGGCAGCAGCCGGGCACGTGTCGGTGGTGGGTCGGCGGCCGCTGGAGGAGGTATACAAGGTGCGGGTGGAGCGCGGCGCGGCGGCGCGGGAGCGGGCGGAGGCGCTGCGGGCGATGGAGACGTGGTCCACGTGGCGGACGGGCGGGCGGTGCCGGATGCCCTGGGACTGGCACGTGGACCAGCTCGTCTACATCGTCTCCGGCGAGGTCCGCGTGCTCCCGGCCGAGGCCACCACCGGCGAGGAGTACATGCACTTCGTCGCCGGCGACCTCGTCCGGTACCCCAAGTGGTTCGAGGCCGACCTGTACTTCGACGGGCCTTACGAGGAGCGCTACCGATTCCTCGCCTATGGGGATGACAACTGAATCTAATCGCGTTAATCCATCCATGATTGGAGGGGATTGGGGATTAGTACCAAGCTTGCTAGTGTAGTGTGTTGGTGGCGCCTAGGGATTTATCTTCTTCGCTTTCATGTTGAGTAATTTACTGTATTGTATTTCAGTTAATCGATTTTGTCCTTGCAACACAATTATGCATGTTTGACACTGCTTGTGCTTGTGCTTGTGCCGCCTTACTTTCAGAACGTTCTATTATGTACATTTAGACATTCTTTAGGATTGCTGAAAGGATGAAAAATGAGCATCTGAAAAATACACCGAAATGATGCTGATGATATATTTTAATTTGTTCAAGTATTATTATTTCCTTGTTGCTTCAGATGCTGGTATCAAATTGTGAATCTACAGAACAAAATGTTGTAAAAGGAAGGCTGCACTCCAATACCTGTTGCCTATAGCTGATAAGTAGATTCATTTCCGTGGCAGTAGTTAATGCTGGTGTATAACAAATCATCTTACGCTGAACTTGTTTTTTCTGTATAAGCTAACTTGTTTCAACAAATGAAGTACCTCACCAAAGTACTCCTACAGGCTTGAAAAACTATTATCTGCTAGCACAATTTCACATTTTGTACCTGTGGGCTTTTGTTTTGTCACACCCTTGATTCAAGTGGGGTGCAATCATCAGTCGAGTCGATTGAATTGTTGGTGGCATCTTTGTGTGTATGTAAACAATTGGGTACATTTATCTATTCTTATTTTCCATCATAGAAGCAAATCTCTTTTAAGCCAGCACCATCTCAAACCTGCAAGGTGAGGTAAGTTACTTTAGTCTTATTTACATGCCATTTATAGTGCTCTAAATTTGCCATTCATCATTTTCTTTCCAGTTACATCTGTTACTTAGAGTTACCCTATTAAAATTTTAAATACTCCATCCCTATTAAAATTTTACATACGGTAGAAAACTCTGAAGTACCAAACTTCATCACTGAAAGCTTATGTCTGGATTTTTCATTGGCCATGTGCATTCATCTTATGATGCAGAGGCCGGGCGCTGCCCATTATCTAAAAAATGTCTGGATTTTTCTGTGGCAGTACTGATATTCGAATGGCAATTCACCCTAGAGTTTGGGTTTTGAGTTTTTGCCTCAAGACTGTAAATTAATGTCAAATCTACTGCAGGATGGTTATCATTGAACATTACGTCCAGTTGGGCGTTAGATGGGCTTGATACAATCCAATGTACTTCCAAGGCATTAATAATGTCCAATGAGCTCATGTGTTTGGAAGAAATGTTGGTTGTGGTCACTATGATGCAATGGAACCAGTCTTGTTTTCTAGATTTTTAGATAATAGTCTTGTTTTCTTGATGTTAAAAAGTTTAAAAGTACTGAAAATTTTCCCTGAGAATTTTGGATATCTTGCATTATGTATGTGGAAATTATATTTTATAATAGTTGCAGGTTAATTTCTTGATTGTCTTTCTTACCATATTTTCTGTTTAAGCAGAGGCAGTTAGGAAGATTTTTGAGAGGCTGAGGGAGACCACATGACCATGGAAATGCATATCAAGCCTATGCAGAATGCCTGGAGCAGAGAAAAACTGCAAAACTACAGAAAGGCTTTGAAGAGATGGTGGTCTGTAGGGATGCTCGTGCTGTTCACTCGAATGTTGCAGTCTGAATTCATCAATACTAGGTAAAGTTCACTCTTTTCAATCCAAATTCGATACTGGATGTTACTCCGTATTTGCAATCAGTAACTCAATACACAACCTGAAGAATAAAAACACCCAGGAGTAATTGTGATTTTTGAGTGTATTGAATTGTTTGAGTGAACTGACATTGAAAATTCTTCTGTTACAGTCAGATTCAGTACTCCATTTATCAGTTGACTCATCTCGCGGAAACGGCATGGCTAATTCTTCTCCGATGTTTGGCGTTTGCCTTCTTCTCCGATGCTGTGGTGCGGCAACCTGATTATGGTTCCCATGTAAGCAAATCATGTTCAGCATTATCCTCATACAAGGTTCCTTACTTCCTTATGTCCACTGCTGTATAGTTATCGTGGTCTGTTCATGTTGAGCAACACCTGCCATTTTCTTTTCAGGGCATGCCCAGAACTTGCAGGTCCATTTCGTCAGTGCACCGGCTCCAGTCAGATGGTCCGGACAATAACCTGACGAAGAGTCGAAGATTGCTTCTCTTTGTAGCTGTCTGACACTATAATGCAATGAAAAGATTAGCTTAGTTTGATCCCATAATCGTCTTGTCCTGGAATCCTTGTTGCTTTCATTGTCTGGATTGTATCAAATTTGAAGAATTTGAAACCTGGGAGCTTTTGTGCAATATCATGTTTACGTACACTATTCTTTTCCTAAGTTCTATTCTCCTCCCAGGAGTACCCAGTAGCAGTATTCCCCGAAATCATGCAGAGGCCTTTTCGAAAACGCACGAATTTTACTGTATTTCCACATGTTTAATTCAAATTCCGACTTGGTTCCAAAGAAGACCTAAGCTTTGATCAGTTCGTTTCGGAATCGAACACGAAAACCAAACTAAATAAATCCTAAGCTCAGCCCTCCAAGACGAAAAAAAAAAGCCCATTGCCGCAACGAGCCAAGGACACAGACCAACTCTAGACAGGCCTAGAAAGATTTACACCGTCCGATCAGCATCGGGCGGCGGAGAGGGATCCTTGCGGAGGAGGAAAGAAAAAAAAGGCCAAATAAAAAGAAAAAAAAGGAGGAGAAAATAAACTCCCCGCATCCACGCGAGCTTCTCTCTTCTCTCGCATTCGCACCCCCACCTTCTCTCCACGACTCCACCTGAAGCGCCTCTCGCCGCCGCCGGAGAAGACGCGCAGCGGCAGCAGCGGCGGAAGCGGCGGGGAGCCATGGCGCCGGAGCCGGAAGACGACATCATGAACGAGAAGAACCCCCGCCCGCTCGACGAGGACGACATCGCTCTCCTCAAGACCTACGTGAGTGTCCCCCCGCTAGATCTCCCTGATCTCTTCCCATCTAGGGGTGCTTTCTGGTGATCTGGTCCCATGGTGGGCTCGGGCCTCGGGCTGGGGTTAGCTTGTGGTTGGGGGTAGTTCTAGGGTTTCGATTTGTGTGTGTGCCTCTTTTGTCGGCGGTTGAGGCTGATGTTGTTCAGCGGATGGTTTGGGTTTCTCGCGGAAGGCGAAATGTTTGTTTCTCTCGTTTTCTTCTTCTTCTTCGCCGTGAAAAGCTCGGTTTTAGTGGAGAGGATTAATACTTTGTTTGGTGCTGCGTGGTTTCTATTAATGAAGTTTGCTGATTCTGGCTGTCTGGTTGTTGTTGCGCAGGGGCTTGGGCCATACTCCACAAGCATTAAGAAGGTGGAGAAAGAAATAAAAGAAATGGCTAAGAAGATCAATGACCTTTGTGGTGAGTTAAGAATTTTTCGTCTAATTCTTGGTTGGAACTGGAGATGTAGCTCAATTTGCTAAGTAATTTTCTTTTAGTTCAGCTGTGTACTTTCATGTGATAGCATAGTGAGATAAATTTTATCGAACACACTGATGCTTTCCTATTTGCTATAGCACATTTTGATTGTTTAGTGGGTTTGGCCATTCCCCACTGTAGGAATGTTTTATATCATATTGATCACTCTTTGTTCATTGATGACAAGAGTACAATTCTGGTGCTCTATGTGGGCTTATATAATGTGCGATATACCTCCAAATTTGTTCTTGTACTAGAAATTTGACGTCGTAATGTGCACTGTATAGCAACCTTGTCTCATGTTCAAACACCCTCTTACCTTTCACATCATTGTTCAGTTTGTCAGCTTGTTTAGATGCTAGGAGTTTAGCACATGTTAATTGGTCTATCTGACTGATATACTCTTTCATTAAATCCCAGGGATTAAGGAGTCTGACACTGGGCTGGCACCACCCAGCCAATGGGATCTAGTATCAGATAAGCAGATGATGCAAGAAGAGCAACCGCTGCAAGTATATCGCTTAACCTATTTCCCCGCCTACCTTCTTCCTTGTTTTAATAGTTTTGTGCCTAGCATACTTCATGCATGATGCCTAAGGACTTAGATTTCCTGCTTTAGTTTTATGTCTTCTGTGATTTTACTGACAAGATATTTTCCTCCTTTTGAAGGTGGCTAGGTGTACCAAGATTATAAGTCCTAATACTGATGATGCTAAATATGTGATTAATGTAAAACAAATTGCAAAGGTATTCCATGCTTATCCAATTTTATTGAAACCATATCTTTCATGAAAAAAAATGTGTTGATCCCTTTCTCATACTGTATTTTGTATCATTCAGTTTGTGGTTGGCCTAGGGGATAAAGTTTCTCCAACTGACATTGAGGAAGGGATGAGAGTGGGGTAGGTCACTGCTGTTTTTTTGGTCTTTGATGTATCATATTATTCTCCCTGAATTCTATCTCATGCAATTCGATCTGCTGTTTCCACCTTTTTTTGATGCATTTTTGCGTTAGACCAAAACAAGCTCTAATATATTAACCCAATAGTATGCACACTTCCTCAATGCAATGGTGTTAATTCATTGACAGCATATATGGTGTCATGGAAACAAGAGTAGATTATAGTTCAACAAACCTTACATGTTTGACATAGAAGAGAATATTGCTTATTTGAATCCAGGGTATAACATATACAAAGTTTGGTAGATATACTTCACTAATTTTCTGTTCCTTTGCGTTTACCAATAGTACTAGTAGCACCATTTGTCCATTCCTGCGACAGAAGATGAACTGTAACATGTAAGCTTTAGAGATAGCAAAGCTGATTAAGCTAAGAAGAAAAAAGCATCTGATGCATGCATGCTTTTTTCTGGACAAGTCATATGCCTTCTATATCATATATAGTTTGTATGTCATTGTTCTAGGTCTGTTGAACCACTGTACTCACTGTATAAATTCATCTCACGTTTAATGCAGTGTTGATCGGAACAAGTACCAGATTCAAATTCCTTTGCCACCCAAAATTGACCCAAGTGTTACCATGATGACAGTTGAGGAAAAACCTGATGTGACATATAATGATGTGGGTGGTTGCAAGGAACAGATTGAAAAAATGCGGGAGGTATACTAATCTTTTTTCAGTTCATATCCCTTGTCGTGCAAACTTGCTCATCCTTGTGCATCAGGCTAGTTAGTTTTGGACTTATTTTGCTATTTACTGTTTGCTAATTATTGTTTGTTCATAGGTTGTTGAGCTTCCCATGCTTCACCCAGAGAAGTTTGTCAAGCTTGGTATTGATCCTCCAAAGGGGGTCCTTTGCTATGGCCCTCCTGGAACTGGCAAAACACTTCTTGCTAGAGCAGTGGCCAATCGTACAGATGCTTGTTTTATCCGTGTAATTGGCAGTGAGTTAGTTCAAAAATATGTTGGTGAAGGGGCACGGATGGTCCGGGAATTATTTCAGGTATGTGCAACATTGTGAAAACTCACAAGAACTTATCAATTTTCTGCACTTAAAGTGCTTCTGTTTGACAAGCATGTTTCTGAAAAAAAAAATGTTGACTTGGTTTAGATGGCCCGCTCGAAGAAAGCATGCATTGTCTTCTTTGATGAGGTTGATGCTATTGGAGGTGCTCGCTTCGATGATGGGGTTGGGGGTGATAATGAGGTTCAGCGTACCATGTTGGAAATTGTGAACCAACTCGATGGGTTTGATGCGAGGGGAAACATCAAGGTTCTGATGGCCACAAACAGGTATTGCATATCATACTGTGTAGCTATTTATCTTTAAACATCTGCATGTGTTCAGGACTATCGCCACATGAGTAGAGCTGAGAAGCTGACCACATTTTCTTGTTTTGTCAGGCCTGATACCTTAGATCCTGCACTTCTACGTCCTGGTCGTTTGGACAGGAAGGTAGAATTTGGCTTACCTGACCTGGAGGGCCGTACCCAAATATTCAAGATACATACACGCACCATGAACTGTGAGCGCGATATCCGTTTCGAGCTGCTGGCTCGCCTCTGCCCCAACTCAACTGGTAACTGGAAGAACTTTGAAACTTCGTTCTGGGTGGTTTCTTCTAGATTTGTTTGTTATAGTCTCCACCTCAAAAGCGGATAATGCTAAGCTTTGTTCTCACAAACTCCTGTTTGCTGTTACAGGAGCTGATATAAGGAGTGTCTGCACAGAAGCTGGCATGTATGCGATTCGCGCCCGACGGAAAACAGTGACTGAGAAGGACTTCCTTGATGCTGTAAACAAGGTCATCAAAGGGTATCAGAAGTTCAGCGCGACTCCAAAATACATGGTGTATAACTAAACCGTTGTTGCTCCCATTTACTATGGCCCATGAGATTGTCTCTGGCTGTCTGCAAAGATTGTTGTTGTTTCTTCTCGGAATTGTGCATCTTTGTGGCGACCATGTCATCTTGTACAAGTTCTATTAAATTTTATAAGTAGGGTTCCTTTTGACGGTTAATGTGTCAACGACAACAATGTGCAAAGATTTCCACGACGGTTGTGGTCGGGTGGAACGGTGGAGATGAAGAATTGAAGGTGACTCCACGAACACCCTTGCCTGGTTCCGATTGATGGAGTAGCATATGCATGCATCCTAGTCCTAGCAAATCCTGCATGACTTACAATATTCTTGGACTCACTAGAAATTTTGTTAGTTTCTTGAGAGCAGGAAAGCCCATTTTGTTCCTCGCTTTTCTTTTTTAGTGGAGCTGATTCAGTGCTTAGGCTGAGTTCGGTACCAAATGTTGGGAACCAAATGCTGAGTTTCAGAATTTAGTTATTTCTAATACATCTTATTTTAAAATAAAACTATTTCTCTACCTATCTCCTCCTCTCAACCATTTTTCCTTTTTTTTACCTACCTTTTCATCTCAACCAATTATAACATTTCTCAAATTATCTCTATCTACTTTTTAATATATGTGACCATCTTAAAAATACTTATATTTTAGAATAGGGCTCGTAGTGTAATACCATGATTCGGAGCATTATTTCCGAAAATGTCGTACACAAATAATATCTTTAAAAAAAATCTGAGCTCTGCTTTTAGCAGGACAAATCTATAGATACTACTATCCCCTTTCTAAAGGGGGCGCCTAATGCACGACTAATCGCGTGCCTGGGGCCACGCGCGACTGATGCTAGTACCTTTTACTACTACTATTTAATATATTACTACTACTAGTCTACTATTACTACTATTAGTACTACTACTATAAAAAATATATATATACATTAAAAAACCTAAAAAAACGTGTATATAAACTTTATATATATGCATACAAACTTTATATACGTGTATACAAAATTTGTATACGTATGTATAAAAACCTAAAAAAACATATGTACACAAACTTTATATATGTGTATATAAACTTTGTATACATATATACAAAATTGTATACGTACATATAAAAACCCAAAAAGTACACGTATACAAAGTTTGCATACACATATACAACCCTTATATATGCGTACACAAAGTTTGCATACGTGTATACAAACTTTATATATGCGTATACAAAGTTTATATTTTTACGTATACAAAGTTTGCATACATACGTATTAAAAACGAAAAAAATACGGAAAGAAAAAAAGAAAAAAAGAAAAACGAAACCGAAAAAATACGAAAGAAAAACAGAAAAAAAAGAGAAACCGAAAAGAAAAAAAAACGGAAAACACGGAGCTCCTCCCGCGCGGCGCGCCGTCCGGCGCCCCTCTCCGCATGCGACACGTGTCCAGTCGCGCGCGCGCGCGACCGGTCGCCGAACAGCAGTTTCGCTTTCTAAAAGCAGAAGAACGCCTCTGCCCTTCCAGGCCCAGGCCCAGGCCCAGCCTCACTTTGCTTCTAGAAGCAGAAGAACGCCAGGCAGGGGCAACGAACATAAGTACTCCTACTAGTACAGCGTCGCTTGGCCACAGCTCCCCTCCCCTTCCCTTCCCTTCCATCCACCAACCGCCGAATCCTCCAAACCCTCTCCTCCACCCCTACCCCTCCCGGCTCCCATGGAGATGGAGCCCTCGCCTGCGCCTACTATGGCGGATTTGCCGGCTGATTTGCTGCGGGAGATCTTCCGCCATTTGCGATGTGTCGCGGACCGCGATGCTGCGGCCGACGTCTGCAGGACATGGCGCGGCGCACTCGCCGAGCCCACGCCGCCTCCCTCGCCGCCGCGCCCTCTCCCTTGGTTACTCCTCCCATCCGCCGGCGATGATTTCATCCACGTCTACTGCTTCTACTGCGGGATCGACCGCTGCAGTCTTCACCACCGCCTCAGCCCCGCGCACGGGGCGCGCTGCTTCGGCTCGCATGAGGGAGGGTGGCTGTTCGTCGCCTTCGAGCACAATCGACTTCACGCCATGATCAACCTCCGGTCACGCGAGGATTCCAAGAGCAGCTTGATTCCTTTCCCCGACCTGCTCCGCTCGTATCAGGACGAGGACGACTACCAGCGCGCACAGAACATGGTTATACTGGCAGCAGCACTCTCCTCTTCCCCAGGCGGCACGAGCTGCATTGGCGCGGGCATCGTCATGCGCTGGGATCTCATCGCCGGCTCGTGCCGTCTCGCCTTCTGGCGTATGGGAGATCGTGTTGCCGTCGAAGGAACAATGGCGCCCGACTCAACAGTCAGACTCAGAGATGAGATACAGGATGTCATCTATCAGGATGGCGCCTTCCGGTTCGTGACGAGGAGGGGATTCCTCGTCACCTGTATCCCCATGTTCTACGCAGATGGTGGCCTCCAAGGCACTACAGAGTCTGTTCAGCGCATCCGGCACCGGGAGCGCTTGCGCGAACATGTCCATGCGCGCTATCTCGTGGAGTCCCGGGCCAAGCTTCTGATGATTGTGAGATTTGCAGCTCGGCCACGTTCTCCCACAAGCCTATTCAAGGTGTTCGAGATGGTTCAGGAGATGGTGCAGGACTACACCGGCGTGGAGAAAATTGAGGACACCTGGACCGAACTGGAGTCGCTGGATGGGCGTCTATTCTTCGTCGGGCGTGGCTGCTCCAGATCGTATGAATCATCTGCCTATCCTGAGCTTGGGCTGGGACTCAAGGAGGGTGTCTACTTCCTGGATGACTACGTTTACGCCGATGAGGGCATGCCCTTCCGCGATGAGGGACATCGCCGTTATCCCTGCAGCGACAACGGGAGGTGGTGCGACGGGCACGTTCATCGCTGTTTCTCGGAGCAGCGCGCATCGTCTGCCCACTCCTCTCCGACTTGGTTACTCCCGTGATACTACAATTGTGCGGGTAAACGATTTTCATGCTTTCTTGCATCGATCATTGATTTTTTGTTGACTTGACTGCGTTCCTGAGATGATTGATTTTTTGTTGGCATGACTGCGTTCCTGAGTTAAACGATTTTCATGCTTCCTTGCAAAAATCACGCTGATTTTTTGTTGACTTGACTGCGTTCCTGAGATAATTGATTCCAGCGAATTCAGGGTGTGAACTCGTCTGCATGAGTCTGCAGGCTGCTGGTTATCATCTTTTCATCTGAAGGTTGTTTCTGTTCTGTTGCCATAGCATCAATAATAATGGTGGTGAGGATTGTGGAGTACCCTGACACTTTGTTTTGGTTAGTGAGTTGAACACTTGAACTCTGCTGATTGGATAGGAGAGTGTCTGGGATGTGTTGTTTTGTTTCACCTTGCTCTCGCCAGTATAATCAGGTTGCTGATTGTCCCCTGGATTAGGGAAAAGTCTAATAATCATCCCTTATGGGACGGCCCTCATTTTTTTCATGTCACTTAAAATGTTTTTGAAAGAATTCATCACGATAGATCAATATATAACACTTATGTAGACTCAAATTCGATCTATACAAGTATTAAAATTCTAATCCCTCCGTTTTATACTATAAGTCGTTTGACTTTTTTTAATAAAACTTTGTTAAGTTTGACCAAGTTTATAGAAAAATTTAGCAACATTTAAAATATCAAATTAGTTTCATTAAATCTAACATTAAATATATTTTGATAATATGTTTGTTTTGTGTTAAAAATATTAATATATATTTTTATAAATTTAGTCAAACCTAAAAATGTTTGACTAGGGAAAAAATATCAAACACAACTTATAATATGAAAAAGAGTGAGTACTATTTTTTTTATCACACATCTATAACTTGGCCTTGCACCATAAATTTCTACAATAGAACTTGCTCTTACTAGTTCAGCTACTTGAACGGTCTCCGCGACTTGACCTTGAGCTCCGCACCGCGGAATGAATTCCCCTCTCTGTGTGTATGTAGAGAAATCAACTGCAAAAGGATAGTTGCATGTCGGTGACTAAGGCCGAGTTCTAACTATTTTGATTGATTTTTAAACAAACAAGGGAATGTCTCAGTGAGGGATCAAAACAATTCCCGTTTTTTCTAGATTTTTGAAAGTCATTTGCATTGAATTTAAGAGAAAAATTCTACACAAGGTTTTTTTCCTCTGCTGTAACTAAGAATAGTTATCCCCTCCATCCGCCTGGTTATGGGTTCGAACATCCTCTCAAGGAACTAGAATCCATTCTCCCTCCAATCATGACATTCTTAGGAGTTGCATGGCGGTCATTGATGGATTAAGTTTTTCCACAATGCACAAAGAAATACACAAAAAATTACACAAAAAAAATTACACATCATATTACAAGGAGCAAATGAAAGTTTTACACGACACGACATCCGGGCAGCCATCGCAACCAGGGTGAACAGGATAGAAGAAAAACGAACTAGGAATTACTGGCTACTCTCTCTGTGAAAAAAACTCAAATCCTAGGGATGTCTGTATTCATACCTAGAATTTAATTTTTTATATGACAAAGGGAGTAAGTCGAAAGGAAGAGATTGCAAATCCTAGTTAAAAAGCTACTACTCCCCAAAATGAATGCAAAAACAACAGCCGAAAGCTACTACTCCCCCAAATGAACCACACTATCGAGCAACCACTGGCGCCCTTCCAATCGGATGAGGATGATGACGGAGGAAACCGAAGACATAGTCGAAGAAACGCAAGATCTGCGAGTCGAGATTCCGACGTACGATGACGTTTCGTCAACCGCATCCTCAATTAAGCCCACCATCTTGGATCAAGCAGCCATGGTTGGGGTGCAATTTCCAGCCTCCCCGCCATGGACAGCAATTGAAACCAAACTTACCGAGGATATGGTTTACCGTCTCCAATTCTTGCGCATAGAAAGGACAGGAGGTAAGGCAGTTGATGACTTGATTCCTCGCTGTCGAAACAAATTTTCGGCAATATGAAAAGGGGTAGCGTACGAGACCTGAAAGTGGATGGATGCGGAGACAAAGGATTTAGACAGGTTCAGACCCTCTCGATGAGAGGTAATACCCTACTCCTGTTTGGGGATTTGAATCCGCCGGGTGTATATTGATCTGACGATCAGTTTGTGTCATGCCCCCTAGAGGGCCTCCTGCCCCACCTTATATAGGATGGGAGCAGGATTACAAGATAGAAACCTTAACCAATACGGTATCGGTTTCCTAAATCTATTTTACAATATTATCAAATCAAGACTTTAGGCCGCTCCATAATATAAAAGGAAACGTAATACCCAAGTCATGATCGGTTACATATTCCATAGATATAAGCTATCCTCTATGACTAGTCGGATAGCCATGCCGTGTGGGTATGGGGTACCCATAATCTCCACAGTAGCCCCGGAGACCTTCACAGTCGGAAAGATAATCTTCTTTCGAACTAGATTACTCCAAAACCGAGTGCTTCAATCATCTTTGCCATGATCCCCCGAGTACTTTTACCAAATATGAAGATTGTGGAGGGCTGAAAAATAAAGTCAGGTGCATCGAATAGATGTACCTAATAGAGGCACCAACTGAGTGGTTTTGATAATTGTAGTCAACCAAGTGACTTAATATTAATATATAGCATATGCGGTGTGAATCCTTGAATAACATGATCCGAGTGATATACCGACTGCTTTGTAAAATATGATGCGTGCAATCTAAAGCTGACTACATCATTGAATACACATAGCAAAACAGCTATAAAGAAGCTTGTATGTTGTGAATAAATAAATTTCCAAAGTATTGGGCATACACCATGCGCACACTGCTTTAACAGATGTGCTTGAGTCCCTAAAAGACACATGGTTTCACCACACCTGGAAATATATGGCATATGTGGTATAAAATCCGAGTAAATAAACTCATAAGGATTTATCAATCATCTGGAAAATGACCAAAATATATAATCAGCCTAAGCCATAATATTGGTCAATAAAAATGCACACTTACGTGGCAAAAAGCAATTATGTTGTATCCAATCAATTGCTTGATAAACCCAAACAGTGCCATGACTATATAAAAAAGTCAGCGGGGCAGCTATATAAAGCTTTACTGTTTGACACCTTTTAAGATGCATTGTACCAACTCCTAAAAAGTTGAGTAACTGCGGTATAAAAGGACTTTAAGGTATTGGGCACTAGATCACACGCACTTTGGCCTAAGCAAAAAGTGCCTAAGTCCCTAAAAGAACGTGACTGGCCACACCTCAAAATATGGGCTGCAGACATATTAGGCCTAGGCCAAAAAATATGACTTCGACACCCTTTAAAGGATGACACATGTAACATGCTCCCAAGTAATAAGTCTTCTAGGTAATGTAGACCAAGTGTAGCTCATATGAATAGCTTCTGATCTGAGTGATTATCCCTTATGGGATACTCCAAAATAGATATAATAATTAAATCCCGACTGGCGCAAGTATTCAGTTGATAGTCCTTACGGGGAATAGTAATTGGTCCAGTCTTTGAGCATAGAAAATAAACTCATGACTATAAATCCATGTTGAATGTATCCGAAACAAGTCCAAATTGAAGGTATGATACTTGTGTTTGAGCTAGTAAGCCCCTGAGCATATAGCTTGTCCTTCTGTCGTAGTCACAATTGTCCATTGATGGTAGCTGACGCAATTGGCATAGAGACAAGATGACCAATATAGAGAGAATATTGCTCACCAGAGGTGGAAAAAATATTGGTGGTAGTGAAGATAGTGATACCAATCAAAAGTGATGAAGTTGCACAACCGTGAAGGCAAAGAAACCAGTCGGCAGCAGTCAGGGCAGCCAGCAATGAAGATGAAGGCGCCCAGCGATAAAGTTGTGTAGCCATGGCAGTGAAATAATCAGTCGATGACAGACAAGGCAGCTGGTGAAGAAGATGAAGATGCCCATTAGTGGCGACATAATAAGCCATCCATGAAGGCGAGGATACCGGTCGGTGGTGACGAAAGCAAGCCAACGGTGAAGATGTAGACACGCATCAAAGGCGATGACGAAATCCACCAATCATGAAGATGAAGAAAATAGTCAGCGATGACAAACGCAACCGACAGTAATGATGATAAGCAGCAATCATAGATAATCAAATATAATGACGAAGTTGCCCATCAATAGCAGTAGAGTGGGCTATGTTGAATAGGCTTGACAGGATGTTGATGAAGATAACGATGTCGGTGATCCAGTCGATAGCAACCGTGAAAGTGAAATAATAAGTCGGCGAAGACATAGTCATCCATTAGCAACAGAGTTGATGTCAGGGCCGATGAAGCAGAGGTGCTGGTGATGATGTCAGTGACAATAATCCATCAAATTGGTGTTATAGCTGTTGCAGATGCTTCACTTGGAGGAAAGTAGATGATGTTGTCCAACTCGTCGAAACTGAGCTGATTGGTTGATAACTCTGCTCTAAAGCAAAGACGAAGATAATGACTCCTGGAATTGACTCGTTGGCTGATTAATTGATTGCTTCAGCTTGTCGAATTTTGAGAGTCTTGTATTTGTGTAGCCCCCGACTCTTTGGTTAGTTGGGAAACAACTGAACATAGAGTCGAGAACTGTAGCTTGTCGTCAAGTGGCCATCACTTGAGTGAAGATACATGTTAAAGATGTCCGAGTAGAAACCGGTGCCGAAGACAATGAAGATGAAGTAGCTCCACCATGGTAACAAAGTTGCATAGCCGTGATGAAGTGAACACGAGTCGGCGGCAACGGAAGCAAACCGGTTGCGAAGACGCGTAGTTGTGAAGATAAAAATATCAGTCGGCGGCGACTTAACAAGTCGGCGACGGAAGATGATGACGTCCATCAATAGTGGTAGCGGTGTAAACCAGACGTAGAGGCGAGTGCACTAGTCAGCTGCAGACGAGATGACCGACGGTGAAGACGATAAGGCCAATCAACACTAGCAAAATCATGCAGCCATGGAAGTGAAGAAACCAGTCGGCAGCAGATGTAGACAGCTTGTGTTGAAGATGATGACGCCTATTAGCGATGGTGGCGACGTGGCCAGCCGTGAAGACGATAGCGCCAATTGGCGTCATACGAAGTGGCTGGTCGGTGAAGATGTAGACGTCCAACAACGGTGGCATAATAGGCCAGTCGTGCAGCGGAGACACCAGTCGGCGGCGGATAAGGCGGCCGGTTGGTGAAGGTGTAGACGCCCAACAACAGCGGCATAGTAGGCCAGCCGTGCAAGCGGAGACACCAGTTGGCGGCGGCGAAGGTAAGCCGGTCGGTGAAGACGTAGATGCCCAACAACGGCGGTGTGACCACCTGACCGTATAAGCGAGAACACCAGTCGGCGGTGGACAAGGCGGCCGGTTGGTGAAGGTGTAGACGCCCAACAAAAACGGTGTGACCACCCAGGCGATGACAGCAAGCCGATGGTGATGTGCTGACTGATCCATTCCTGGAGCGTAAGAGATAAGCTTATAGCCATGAATCCCTTTTATGCATATCTGGATCTGGATCCTGCAGAACAAACATATAGGATGAGTAGTATCTGATATAAATATAATACTCGAGAAAAATTCAAGTATTTTAAAATATTTATAAATATGTATTTCTTCTCTTGTCAATTTTGATTTCCCCGAGCAGATGACTCATTACGTTTAAACACTCTGCCCGACTAGTCATAGCCACCATGCACCGGGAGTCAGCCTAAGCACTTCCCAAACATGCATATGAGTGACATGAGTTCGTCATTAATGGAACAAAGTTTCACGGGTCGGAGTTTACTACTCGGGTACTTTTGCAATTATTAAGAGCAGAAAATAAATTATCTTATCTCTATGCTTTTGATTTATTCCGAATAATACTTAGCACCTTGCGTTATTCGATCCATCCAACAAGCCCCCGGGTGCTAGGAATCAGCCCAAAGGCAACTATCAATTAGCAAACCAAACGAAAAGCATAGGAAGATGGAACTCCATAACTCGATAGGCACTTTTGTACTCAGAATATGTCGCAAGCAATCAAGATAAATATTATGAAAATTGTTTAAAAAATATGATACACATCTGTAGCCCCCGACTCACTAGTCAACGGCGAACCAGTTGATGTAGTGAGGCAAAGGAAAAGGCAAAATATCATATAAAGAATAAAATAAATGACGACTTAGCTTTGTCGTATTCCCTCGGTGACAGCAAAAGTAGCCGATGTGGGAACGAAGCAGTCCATCAATGGTGACAAAAACACCAGTCGGCGCCAGTGGAACCAAGCCAGTGGTGTAGATGATGAAGCCCATTAACGGCGGCGGAGTCCGCTAACCGTATAGGCGAAAACACCAGTCAGTGGCGGCAGAGGCAGGCCGGCGGTGAAGTCGTAGATGCTCAACAGCGGCAGCATAATAGGCCAGCCGTGCAGGCGGAAACACCAGTCGGCGGCGGACGAGGCGGCCGGTCGGTGAAGACGTAGACGCCCAACAACAGCGGCATAATAGGCCAGCCGTGCAGGCGGAAACACCAGTCGGCAGCGGACGAGGCGGCCGATCGGTGAAGACGTGGACGCCCATGAACGGTGGTGTGACCAACCAACCGTATAGGCGAGGACACCGGTCGGCGGCGACGGAGGCAGGCCGGCGGTGATGATGACGGAGGCAAGCCGGCAACGATGAGGTCAGGGAACGGAGAAACAGCTTCGCACTCCCGCCGGTCTATCCATGTGGTAGCATGCGACGTCTGCCCAGCTCGTTGGTTTGACTCTGCCGACTCGTCCTCCTGGCGACGTGTCTCTGTGCATTTAGATCAGGCACTCGTGTACAGCTCGGACAGAGGTGGATTGATCAATACCATCCGGTGATTAAATCAAGTAGTAGTTGCATGAATCTTAATTACTCCATATTAGACAACGTTGCCTATGCATGGCGGCAAAGTCCAAGCTCCCAAAACAAACAAATCTGCCTGGGAATAACGATAGTATATATGCTGGTGCTTCAGTAATTGGAGACACGTGCTGCAAAGTCTGCTAATTATGATTCCAGATCAATCTGTTGTCAGTGGACTCCGCTACATGCATGTATATTGTATACATGGCGAAATCGCACACGATTACTATTCCGATTGGATAGATGACTGCCTTTCGTCGTTCTGCGTCTGGCTAATCGCAGCTGAGTTGTGCGTCTGGCTAATCGCAGCTGAGTTGAAATTAGGCCGAACGGATAATTGGCGTGGGACTCGTCCTGGCAATGATCGGATTCCGACGGCGGCAGGGCATGTGTATATGGTATTTGATCTTAAACTGAGGTCTTCCATGGAGGTATTGACGGCGGTGGAAATTGAATCCATCGAACATGTCGAGACTGATCTTCCCGGCTAGATTGGATCCGAGTCGAAGAGCAGGAGCATGTTGAAGTGGTCGGCGAAAAAACTCCCGAAGCGAAGATGAAGCCGGTGACTCATGAAGTTGATTCCATCGCACTTGTCGACAGGTAACTCGACGCAACCCCTACCTGGCGCGCCAACTGTCGAAACAAATTTTCGGCAATATGAAAAGGGGGTAGCGCACGAGACCTGAAAGTGGATGGATGCGGAGACAAAGGATTTAGACAGGTTCAGGCCCTCTCGATGAGAGGTAATACCCTACTCCTGTTTGGGGATTTGAATCCGCCGGGTGTATATTGATCTGACGATCAGTTTGTGTCATGCCCCCTAGAGGGCCTCCTGCCCCACCTTATATAGGATGGGGGGCATGATTACAATATAGAAACCTTAACCAATACGGTATCGGTTTCCTAAATCTATTTTATAATATTATCAAATCAGGACTTTAGGCCGCTCCATAATATAAAAGGAAACGTAATACCCAAGTCATGATCGGTTACATATTCCATAGATATAAGCTATCCTCTATGACTAGTCGGATAGCTATGCCGTGTGGATATGAGGTACCCATAATCTCCACACTCGCTGACCAGGACATCTACGATCCAACAACGTACAGCGCCTGCGCCGTGAGCCACAAAAGGAAGACCTTACATTTCGCAGGCAGCAGGCCATGAGCAGAACCGATCTTCTACCGTGGTACCTAAAATTTTTTAAGTACCCATTAGATTTAGAATTGGTACTAATTTTTTTTAACGGAAAACAGCACTAGAGTGACTTTTCATTGAACGGCACTAGGCAATTATTTTTCTTTACAGAACTAATTGTTTTTTACTAAAGTGTTTTATTTTGACAATCACTCTAAGAGTGTGTAGATAAATTGCGTCTTACGAAAGCAAATGACCCTGAGAGCACTGATCTTTACTGATCTTGTAAGGATGCACACATCTTACTCTAGGAGAGGATAACAAAATAGAAGTCTATAAAGATCTACAAATTAAAAGGGATCATGGTTGACTGAATGAGAGATATGGAAAAAAGGAAGAAGTGATGACTGTTGTTTCCATAACTCAATGTGTTCATTGTACTGTAGTGGTGTCAGTGTGTTAGTTATTTAGATTTTGCCAGTTACATGATACTATATCAATATGTGTTAATACTGTGTATTATCGGTACCATGATTGAGAAGCGGTGGAATTGCTTGGAATATTTTATTTATCCTCACCTTTTTTGTGTGGATGCATATTGTCTCATATATTGGTATTGAAGTGATTAGATAATTGACGATCTTGAATTAATATTTTTAGGCAATATAATTATTGTACTTTGCCTTATTATGCGACATAGATCGAATTAAAGCTCAATTGGATGGATAACAGGTAAATTATTTTTGCTAGCATGTAATCCATCAGAAAAGATTATGACACCTTAGTGTTAGCAGGGGCAAATTAACTAGTTTAATAAGGTGTAAAAGTAATTTACATAAACCATAAAAGTAACTTAGCATAAAATGGAAGTAAGTTGTTACAACATTAGAAGTAAATTCGTTGTAGGGAAAAAAATATGATCTATCTAAAAATTAAATTTAAAGTCCATAAATTATAAAATTGACTAAAAGCAATAATAAAAATAATCAACTTAGAGCATTATGAAAGTATAAGAAGTAATTTAGTCAAATCTAAAAGTAATTTATATATATGATAAAAGTAACTTACGTATATATTAAAAGTAATTTACAAACATAAATATTTTTATCGTAATATAATCATGTAAGATTTTTTTTTGTGAAGATTTAATTGTAACAAACGCAATAGTGTTAAGTAATAAGAAGGGAAAAAAATATATGCATGGCATGCATATATTTTTTGTTGTGGAACTTTGATGCTTCTCTCAAATTTTAATTTCGTCCGGTTTGACAGTGTTTGGTGTCGAAGTTAGAGTTTGAAAACTTGGATATATGGTTTTTTATATGAGAAACTTTGTACATAAACGATACGATCAAAGTAAGACAAACTTCCGGACCTTAAAATCCAAAAGGCTCAGCTACCAGAAAACATGAGCAATGGTAAGCAACGGTTACATGTCTCAACAAGATTCGCAAGCTGAATAACATCGCATAGACAATAAAAGAAGAGCAATCCAAAAGGCAGGGTACCAGAAAACAGATCTGAGTTACTGAACAACGGTTCTAGTAATCGCATACAGAACAAACGTAAGCCTCTATTACTACTCGCTACTTCATGAAAGATAGCTTGTTCTCCGTTCTGAAGAGCTCGTCGAGCACCCCATTCCACCTCATGTGATAGCCACACGTGAATAGCCTGTTTAAGCGCTTCCTGTTCCACAGGTCAGCCAGAGGTAACATGCTTCTGAGCACGAAAATGTCGCACTCCCGTGTTCTCCCGCTCTCCTCGTCCTCAACCTGTAGAATAATTTCTCGCTTGCAGAGCATGTCATTTTTCATCAGGTACCTCGTTTCCTCCTCCAACGGACTCCGGGGATTGAGCAGGCCAATGGCACCTTGCGCGCGGCAGAGTTCCCGGCTATGTCCTCGCTTGTGCTTCTGATGAAACTTGTCCGGCATGCAATACGAGCATAGCATCAACGAGCAGCATGATGTTATCCAGTCAGCAGGCCGATCGCAAGAACAGCACTTCGGAGAGGAAGGCCTCGCTGGCTCCAAGAGTTCATCCACTCTCTCCTTGATTATACCTGAAAAAAAAACATTTTGAACCAAAAGAAAATAAATGAGAAAGACCAGTAGCGACAGTATTAGCCTTCAATTTTGTAATAAAGAGTCTTTTCACAGAGTTCCGTTACGGGCAGTTACCTCTGTGGCACATATTTGGTTCAAATGTCATTTCTTGACGCCTAAGATGGGCTTGCGCAGTCAATCCCTCCATATGACGAGCTAGATATGGTCCATATCTACCAAAGATATGTACAATCACTGTTCTCACTGCTGGCGGTGGCACCTTTTGATCAACTGAGTGGTCTGCCCCTATTCGGCCAAACAACAGTTTCTTCACTGCCTCCGAGAAGTTATTATCATCAGAAGACCATCCGGGAACTATCACAATAACAGAAGCTGCAGCAAAATGTTAATTTCAGGTAAGAATGAACTGAGTGAAAATAATTTATAATCTAACTAGTTGGGCCATCTGTTCTCAAGTGACAGTGATGAGCATTGATCAATTCAATGTAGCAAAAGCCCTAGGTAACCAGAAACGTAAATAGTCACACAGACACCACAAATTAAACAGTATTTACCAACATATGAAACATACGGAGGGGGCGTAGTCTCACAAATACAAACTACTAGCAACAAGTTTGCATGGCATTTTGAATACAACATTGCTAACTGCAAAATCAAATCATTTTCACAAAAATAAAAGGACCTTCTGAATTGTAACAGATGCACCAAGGTCAGGCAAATGGCGAGTAGAACACTCACCATTTTTGTCCTGAGAAGGTAGCTTAGACACAGCGGTGGGCAGTGGTTCCTGGAGATTGGAGGTATCCACACGACGGGTGAGTGCGCCACCAGGCAACGGATGTTGTGATGGTGCAGGTGTCCCCAGCCCGACGCGGCCTTCCTCACTGCTGCTCTCCGCTAACCAACCAGAACCAAGAAGAACAACTTCACAATGGCACGAAGAGGGGAGTTCAATCTTGGAAAAAAGAAGAGGGCAAGAGGCGCGCTCGATTAGGTACTCACCTTGGATGCGCAGGGGCCTGGATGCGCCCACAGAGCGCTTGCTGTTTCCCAGCAGGGGCATTGGTTCTTAAGTGATAGTGAGAAACAGAAGGATTACTGAAGTTAGTCGATTATATACACAGAAAAATGGGACTATCAATTATGCTGATTGCTGACAAAGCCACTAGGTGTAATGTAGAAGATATACAAAATACTATCAGAACAGACAGAACAAGATACCTAGGTAATCAGAAACGTAAATATCCACATGGCAGTGGCAGATTCAAAAAATTTTAAGAGCTCGGGTAAACCTAACAAACAAACCAAGAATATACAAGTCTATATAATTCATAGATCATTTTAACATGAGCATTTGCTTTATAAGTTTGTGTTAAGCATATGTGTTGATGTGGAGTTGCTTCATACGGCCTAGCAGTGAACTAAGCAATGTAATTAGCAAGCTAATTAAGTGTTAATCTATGGATGCACAGCTGCATGTGCCAGGCAGAGCCTGGGCCATTGCCCGTGGTAGCTGGGCCTTGGCTCCGCCACTGCACACGGACGCAACAAATTACACAGTATTTACCAACAAATGCAGTATACAGAGGGGGCATAGTCTCACAAATACAAAAATAAAAGGGCCTTCTAAATTGTTAAGTAGGCATCTGCTTCTATTATCAAGAGTGAGTGTTACTTGAGAGACTGCTCATGATCATGTTCAAGCAAACAAGGCAAAAGTCAAGCAGATTTCTAAAGTTGTGGCTTTCAGCTATCATGCTGTCCATATGAGGCGTGACTAAAGCAGGGTACAAATTAATTCATTAATCAAAATAAAATAGAAAATGCATAGTGTATTTGCTAGGCCGATGTTATCAAAAGCAGATTAAACAGATATAGAATGTTTTAGAATCCCACAACAAATACAGCACAATTAGTCTTACTGACAATGCATGCTAATCAGGAGCAATTCACAAACAAAACCTTCTAGAGCAACAATATTAATAGCAAAAATATTTTTGAAGGAAAATAGTAGAAATGTAGATAGGTAGTTACATCCATTGAGGACATATAAAAGGGCACAAACAACAAGAATACACTAAATGCCATTTTAAGTGGAAGCCAAAGATGCAGCAAAGTGTGTGTCACGGATAACTTGTCAAGTTAAGATGGGAAATGAAAAACACAGTTAGCAAATATGAAAATTCATCCAAGGTTCAACTTGTATCACTGTGCTAATGAACCAAATATAAAGTAACAACAATAGAGATGCCTGAGGTAATTAGCTGCAACCTCAGGCATTCTTTATAAACTGGAGAGCATAGAAATTGAGGAAAAAGTCCACTTTAATCCACTCTCAGCATTCAGAGGGGGCAGTCTCACAAATAGTAGTACTACAAACTAGTAATAAATGTTTTGCATGACAATTTGAATACAACATTGCTAGGAACAAAATCAAACCATTTTCACATAGATAATATAGCCTTTTGAATTGTAACATATGCAACCGGGACAAGTAAATGGCGAGTAGGACACTCAGAACAAAAGCTGCTTCACAGGAGTACGAAGAAGAAAGAAAGAACAGGGGTGCACTCGATCTTGGAAGAAAGAACAAGGCGCGCTGGATTTTCCTTTGTTATCTACCTCAGATGCGCAGGGGCCCGGACGCGCCTGCGGAGCGGTTGCCGTCTAGGCGACTGGGGGTGGCCGAACGATCCATCCGTCCTATAGACTCCATCGGCACAGCGGTCGTGCTCGGTGCCGTCCAGGTGACGTTCCGTCCATCGGCAACTGAAATCCAAGAAAAAGTCGAATCACCAACACCCAACGAGAAGTCATCAACGGATGTTCTTGGGCACTCACCTCCGCCGAACTGGGAAAAGGAGGAGTCACCGGGCGTGCCCGTCGAGGCCTTCTTGACAGGAGGACCATGCTAGTCGCTGTCAACGGTCTTGCGCTTACGGTTCCCGTCCATCTGGGCAGAACGTCGAACAGCTCGCGTGCGTCTCAACTCTCAAGAACCGCGACCAACAGCGCCACCTAGGGGAGATGGCACGGTCGGGAGGGGGCCGTGGAAGAGAGCTACGGGACTACGGGAGCGGGGGAGGGTGGAGAGATGGTGCGATCGGGAGGAAAGGGGGACGTGCGAGGAGAGACGGTGGGAGGGGAGGGGAGCGGCGCCGACGAGGACGGGATGTCTCTCGCTGCGCGGCAGGCAACGGGACGGGGAATGGATGGGTCCGGACGGATTGAGATGTGCTGCAGTTAAGAATAGGACATTTATTTGGTTCTGGTTCTTATATAAAATTAAAACGATACGATGAAAAAGTTAGAACTCTACGTGTGTATGAAATTTTTTGATGTGATGGAAAAATTGAAAGTTTGAAGAAAAAGTTTAAAACTAAACTCGGCCCTATTTTTACATCAAGCGTTCAGATCTTCCGCTACAGTAGTAGCTTGTCTAGGTAAAATCACAGTAACTTTTTTAGCCAAAAATGTTTCAGATGACCCTGTTACTTAAAATCATATCAAACAGACATGTTGTGACTGTTTAAGTTGCCATCGTACTACAGGCTACAGCGGATCCAGGCGTATATTGTGGCTTTTTAGAATACACCCTACAAATCTTGAATTTCATGTATAAAGAAATGATCCAATTTAAATAAAACCACTAGTAATTGACATCACAGTATTAAATTTCTAAGGAACCAAATCCCCAGCATTATATATTAGACGTGCGTAATTTATCTCCTTCGTATCACGTGATCTTTTGGCGTTGGATACGGTCCTTTGGAAAACATAGGAAATAGGATTACAATTTTATAGGATTTTTTTCACCGTTTAGATATTATTGAATCCTATAAAAAATTCTAAGGAATGTCTCGATCCGCACAAGTTTCGGAGAAGTTTTAACATGTGATCCAGGCTCATGGAAAATTTCCTTTAAATCTACCGATCTCTCTCATCCAGTTTATGTGTTTTTCTCGTGGTCTAATAAAAGGATAATTTTTCGTGCTTTTTCTATGTTTTCCAATTATTTGTATTGCACTTGTATTCCTTGAAAATCCTATCATTTTTCTATTCCCCTGTTTCTTAATCTTGTGATTTAAAGAACCTAAGATTCACAACATTTATTTTTTTTAAAAAAACAAGATGAATCTAGTTGTTACGGGCCTCATCATTTGCCTAAAGAAAACCAGCAGTGAGAACGGAGAAGCCACAAGTGGTGTGGGTTGAGGGCGGTGCGGCACTTTGGCAATCTCCCTGCGACCCTGCCAAATATTTCGCCTATCGCCTTTACTCCCGCGATCTTCACCGCGAGTTCCGGTATACACCTCCTCTTTACCGTAGACCCACACAGCTGAGTAGTTGGAGGATAGCGTGATGAGAGAAAACCGCTAAAATTGACTTGTGGAGTGCTTGGTTTGGAGGACATCTAAAAATGGTGTGTCTGATGGAGACTCTGCTGGAGTATTATTTTCTCGCCTCCATACACCAAACACATAATGGATGGCCAGATAGATGATCTGCTGGGCATGCTCTAAGCTTATACTCCCTCCACCATTGAATAAACCAACCTAGTATACGATGTAAAGGACTAGATAAGGATTTGTGCATATTCATAATGCTAGAAATATCACATCATATATTAGATTGTTTATTTTAAAACACAGGGTATGGTGGCTGTTCGAAGGCGCTAGGACAATTATAATTGGCTGCACGCTGCAGCCGGTTTGAACTGCTGCAGGTAGGCTAGCCGAACATGTCCTATAGCTGTGTTTAGTTCCACGTCAAAATTAGAAGTATGAAGAAATTGGAACGATGTGACAGAAAAGTTGAAAGTTTGCATGTGTAAAAAAATTCGATGCGACAGAAAAGTTAAAAGTTTGAAGAAAAAAGTTACAATCTGTCTATATAAGGTAGATGCAGTTAGCTAGACGTTGAGTTGTGCTAGCACGAGAAGAGGCGTGTAAATCGCCTCCTTCCACGGTTTGGGAGGTAGTTTCATCCCTATTGAATCAGCTTACAGCCCCACCTGTCAATAACCTCTTCCATCCTATCATCTTCTTCACATCTCCTCTCTCTCTTTCCTCTACCTCCTCTCTCACCTTACAGCAGCACGCGAGGGGCAAAGTGGACGGCCGGCGCGCGCAGGGGGAGTCGCCGCCCGGCCAGTCGCTCACTCTTCTCCCCCATCGGTCTCGGCCGCCCCAACTCCTCCTCCTACCGCCGTTGGAGCGTGTCCCCGTCCTGCCCCAAGCACAAGTGGCGGATCCCCGGCTAGCGCGCGCCATCGTCGTCAGGGATGGTGGAGGCGGCGACGAAGTGGGCCCGGACAGCCTGGCCAAGGACGAACCTGCGGTTGTCGTCGTGGGGCCAGTCCCATGTTGGCGGCAACGTAGAGCTAGCCAAGCCGGCACTGCTGCTCACGGACCCTGTAATGGCGTGCTCGGCGGAGCGGAGATCGAAGAAGTAGACGTGCGCGGGCGATCTCATCCTCCGGCGCGTGCTGCGGAACTAGGCTCAGCACGACGGCGCAGCTGGCCGGACCGTCCACCACCATCACGGCCGCGGATACCAGTAACCCCGGCTGCGGCGGCGGCGGCACAGGCAAGGCCACCGGCGACAGCACCGGCACGACTTGGTACGGCGACTGCGGGCAGTACAGCTGGTGCAGAAGCAAAGAATGAGAACGGTGCACCGACAGCAGGGTAGAATGCGTGAGCTCCGGCGTCGAGAAGATTGGACGCGGCTCCCTGCATACCGCCCACGCCGCTTCCACCTCCTTCCTCCACGTCCACGGCAGCATCCAGTCATCCACCCACGTACGTGCAGACCGAATCCAAGAACCCCCGCCGGCCGGTCACCACGCATAGAAGAGATCTTCTACGTCGCCCCCAAACCTGAAGGAAGAATACAAGGAGAAGGGGGATGACAGGTAGACCCCACATGTGGTACCACTTTTATTTTTAACTCTTTTGATGACTAGGCTGTCACGTCAATACATTTAGACCAAGTCAACCTGCCACGTCGGTGAAAACCGCTTCCAAAACCAGTGAAGGAGTTAATTTGAACTGGTTTTTGAAGTTGGGGGAGATGTTATACCCGTTTTTACAGTTGAGGGATGCGCTTCAATCAAGGGCTAGAGATGAGGGAGGAAAAATAGAATTATTCCATGCTCGGTTGAAGCGCATGGATTCATGAAAAATAGAATTATTTAGAGGGCTTCTCTTATGGGCCCAAAATTGCAAATGCCCAAAATAGCTTGGAGCCCACGTTGTCATTTCACCAAAGGCCCACACAGAAACGCAGCCCAACAACACGGCGCGGTGCCGTGCCTGTGCCTTGCCTTCCCCAATATTTTGGCGGGAGAATTCGCTTCCATTTTGCGCCCACTCGAAATCCCCAAAATCCGCACGAGAAAAAAGGAAGGGGAAAATCGAGCTGGAGCTGGAGCCCTAGCGGCGGCGATGGGGCGCGGCGGCGGGGGACGGTGGAAGAAGGAGGAGGAGGAGGAGCTGAAGGCGGCGAAGCGGGGGTACCGGGAGGCGGTGGCGGAGGGGAACCGGGAGGAGGAGGCGCGGTGGGCGAACGTCATCGGCGACATCCACAAGCGGCGGGGGGAGTACGTGGAGGCGCTCCGGTGGCTGCGGATCGACTACGAGGTCTCTGTCAAGTACCTCCCCCAGCGCCACCTCCTCCCCTCCTGCCAGTCGCTCGGCGAGGTCCACCTCCGCCTCGGCAACTCCTCCGAGGCCCTCACCTACCAGGTTACGACGATCCTTCCATTTCGCATCACACGCATATGATCAGATCACGTTTTCTGATGCCTGAGTCGTTATAGGCAGGTGTAGGTTAAGTTGTAGTAGAATTTCCGCATTGAGTTGTTTGGTCTGCCGGCAAACAAATATTTGCTAGTAGTAGTACCAATCTGCATTATGGTTTGTCCCATTTTATAGTGTATATGCAATTATAGTTTGTTTCTGTGTGAGTTAGTGCTAAGGTATGCTGTAGAAGCCACTGTATCAGAGAATTTTGCTCATCTCAACGCCCACTATGCTTTGGGCCATTTGGTGTTGCATCTGTATATAAATGGTTTAGTCAAGTATTTGAATGTTTAGCTGAATATCAGATTAAGCTGCATATACTTTGTGTTAGATTTAATTGGGTAATTGATCCATTTAAATCAATTAAATCAAATAAATTCTAAGGCTCATTATGCTAGGAATTCATGTGTATTCATTCTTTTATGGGATATCAATGGGATGAAGAGTTTTGAGAATTAATCCATTTGATTAGGGAATTGGTAACTTATATCAATTAGTCCTAATTGATGGATGGTTGATGGTTGTGTAGTGGAGGATGGTTCATGGCTAGTTGATGACAATTAGTTGCTCTATTCCTCTTCCTATTCCATTGGTAACTTACATCAATTACTCCTAATTGATTGTTGGTTGATGGTTGTGTAGTGGAGGATGGTTCATGGCTAGTTGATGACAATTAGTTGCTCTATTCCTCTTCCTATTCCATGACTCTTACTCTTCATCTTCCATTTCTCTTATAAAATGAGAATGGATTTGATCTCCCGCAAGAATAGTGAGACACACTTTCATCCATTTTCCAACGCTGTTGCTGCTACGGTAATCCCATCCCGACGAGTGTGTGCACACGCGTTGGGAGAGTAGGCCTCCGAAACCACGTGCTGCTGCGACGTTTGTACGGACGGGCGGGCGATCATGTTTTTGGGAAGCGCAAGGCGCGACTACTCACTGTTCGTCAACATCTACTTCACCTTCACCAATATGTCGAACACTGGAGACAACGGCAACACTGGATACAAGGAGAAGGAGGCTCCCGTCAACACCAATGGAGGCAATACTGCCTCAAACTCCAGCGGAGGACCATTCTTGGGGTATAACCTTCTTACATTATTTCAATTAGAAGTTTTACTGTTAATGTTCATCGCAATGTCAACATTGTGTTATTATGTGATTGTTGATGCTTATTCTACATTAAGCATGCTCATGTTGATTACATTCACCACTTTCACTGGATCAAATCCCATTGTAAATATCATGTTTATTATCTTGTTATTTTGGATTAAAATATGCCGAATTATGACCAAATTTCCAACACTTTGATATTATGCTTTACTTTGTCAAACTTAAGGTGGACTTTGCTTGTAGAAATGTACACAAATGGTTGGATCATTTGCTGGACTATACATTTTATATTGTTATGGATTCGGGT